TAGGCAGTTTCGAAGAGCAGTGTAATGGATAGTGTACATCTAGTTGATGACTAAATAAGACAACTTATATTCATACGTAATGGTCAGCTTTGATGTCACATCATTATTTACAAGATTGTTGATAACTTTGTTTTTCTCCCTTGAAGGTGAATCACCTTAAAGTTGCAGGTACGAGAGTAATGGTTGTATTTTTTAATATAATAACGTGGGTAATTATTATTATAATTAGGGAGAAGCAATAAACCCGTAGGACACTCCCGCACTATCAATGGTAGGGGATGACCGAGCCCCTCACCAATTTGTGAGCTTCTGTGTAACACTCCGGACGTGGACGAAATGCCTAGTGTTTTTTAATTGTAATCACGATACAATTTCTTCTGAAGTGCAGTGCTATACAACCCCGATGGGTTTAGGCTTTTCCATCAATTAAAAAATTAATTTTCAGTATAGGATAAAAAGAGGCCTCAGCATAAGTGTTGTTTAATCTTTATTAATATTACATGAGGAAAGGTTTGAAGAAATAAATAGCTTTGCGCTTAAGGACATCTAAGTTACCAGTTGTGATGAAGTGGACGCACTGAAGGAAATTGATGGTAACTGAAGTGAGCAGATAGTAGGTGAAGTGAACAGATGGTAACTGAAGTGAACAGATGGTAACTGAAGTGAACAGATAGTAGGTGAAGTGAACAGATGGTAACTGAAGTGAATAGATAGTAACTGAAGTGAGCAGATGGTAACTGAAGTGAACAGATAGTAACTGAAGTGAGCAGATAGTAACTGAAGTGAGCAGATAGTAGGTGAAGTGAACAGATGGTAACTGAAGTGAACAGATAGTAGGTGAAGTGAACAGATGGTAGCTGAAGTGAATAGATAGTAACCGAAGTGAGCAGATAGTAAGTGAAGTGAACAGATGGTAGGCAGCAACGCTTGGCAGGTTCTAGTGATGTATGTTATTAGAATACTGAGGATGAAGCCTTAACTCAAGTAGCGACCTGCCTTCCTAACACCAACCTTAGTTTTGTACCACTTTTAACTTAGGCCGATTTGTCAACATACCTTTCAGCGCTACATGACCCACACAGGTTTAGCGCTTTTTATGAACAAAATAATTTACATATGCTATGATAGATTAGCCTCAGTTGGTCATCATAAAGTTGGTCTCTTGTGTGCCGATTGACCAGTCATATTATAAATGGTGTACAATACGGACAAGTTGATTAGTAAGGTACATGTTCAGCATTTGGGTATATTTATCAATAAAGCAGCGCTGTTTAACCCTTGTGAGTTTAGCGCTTAGTTCCAATTGTGATGATGATAATAATAATAATAATAATAATAATAATAATAATAATAATAATAATATATCAATAAAGATACCTGAGTGTTGTACATATATCTTTGTCATTGACCATTTTTACTAGCTTTATTTTTTCATTACCATCAATAAATGCAGGGAACCAGAGTGAAAACTGAAGAAGGAAATAGACCACCAAACAAAATGTAATTCATATTAAAAACGACGATTTCTTAGGAGGATGGTTGCAAGTCGAGTAATTTGTATACACAGAGCAACTTTGTTTAACCTGATGGTTCGTTATCTGTAAGAAAAACAATGAAATGTTGTTATACATTGTATGTATGACATTTATTTTGCCCTTCAAGGGAGGTTCGTTGATGATGGTCAGGACCTCGTCATCCAAGAAATTGGATTTGTTCTCTCCTTGGATCGCATCTGATATGCCTCCCATTCCCCAGTAACTGTGTAACCCTATGGGTTTAGCCCTTCCCCTAATATAATAATAACAATTTTCTCCAAAACTAACTTGAAAACCACACCTTGCCAAACTTTACGTAAAATATAACGTAATGCACCAAATATTACTAGGATTTGGTTGTGAATGTTAGGTGACTGATCCATAGTGTTGGTGATCATCCCCGGTTATTACCTCACCCACACAACCATTCTTCTGAAATTATCCCCCACCAATGAATAAAATTACGAAAAAATAAAAAGGAATTTCTCTGAAGAGCTTTATACCAGACCATTTTCTGTCGACACCAGAACACTGTTCGAGCAGAACTATTTTATGAGGTGATTAATCAGTACATGTAAATATATACAAGAATAAATCCGATGATTGAACCTTTAGAACGATGATGTCTGGCGGCGCTTAGCAGCTGTAGAGTTGAACCTCCACTTGTACCCTTCAATGAACCATGGGTTTGCCACTTCACATAAATATAATAATAGTAATAAAAATAATAATATAGTAATAAATACTAATACATTTAATAATAAGCGATGACTAAGCAGATGATGAAACAAGGAGGCATGTGATAAGGGACGAGAGAGACCATTGCCTAGATGACTAGTACAGCTCTCCACTGAGAACTGTCTCTAGTGCAGGCCTCTAAGTGAGGTGAGCCAACATGATTAGTTGGGGGTGTCTGCTGAAGCGACGTAAGCTCTAACTACTTACAGCCGTAACTAACGGGAATCACCATGAAGAACGGACTAAGACAATAGACACGAAAGTTTTTTTTTTTTCAGGGAACTTTGATGAGGTGGTCACCAGTGTGGAGCAGATTGTATCTTTGACACCCTTGTTCTCCCACACACACACACTGTAAGCAACGCCAGAAGTGCATCTGCATAGGGTACTGCCACATTTTACAGGACAAGGTGTTACTGCGATAACATTGTTTCATGCTCTTTTAAGCTTGTTCTGCAATTTGTGTCTTTTCTTCAACGCCGCCTGAAGTGATGTGCCTTGACAGACTCCGCGCACCTACACTGCTTCTCAAGTTGCTGCATCAAGCCTCGGCTGGTCACGGATGGGGTCGTAAATAGCGGAGGGAGGACTGAACTTCAACCGCTCGAGCTCAACGACCCACAATAGGTTTTAGCGCATAATAATAATACTAATTTTCCGGCTTTGATACAAATAGTTCCACTTCAAAGTAAACACACAACGCTTCACTATATATATATATATATATATATATATATATATATATATATATATATATATATATATATATATATATATATATATATATATATATATATATATATATATATATATGTATATATATATATATATATATATATATGTATATATATATATATATATATATATATATATATATTATATATATATATATATATATATATATATATATATATATATATATATATATATATATATATATATATATATATATATATATATATATATATATATATATATATATATTATATATATATATATATATATATATATATATATATATATATATATATATGTATATGGCAGTTTCGAGTGTTTCCGTGTACGTTCTGTGAATTGACCCTTAGGGATTCTCGGTGAAGTGTTTTTGTGTTTTTTGGAGTCTGGGTAGACTGGCGGAGGCGCTGACGGTGCTCTTAAAAAGAATTGAGATGATCCTGCAGGCTGTCTCACGAGACGTAAGGTCTGTAGAGGTGTTCTGCGTCTGGCGGCAGTTTGGTAAGGATGGCAGCAGAGAGGGGAACATGTTGGTATTGCCCCGAGAAGACTGAAGACCCGCCTGACGATGTAACTACTGGAGTAGGAACATGGAGGTGAGACATGGCCGCGGCGTGGGCATGAATGCTGTCGTACAGCGGGTCGTAGCGGCGAGGATCAGGCGAAGACGTTGTTGAAGACTCCGCGGCCTGTGAGAGATGGGTAGGACTCGGGGATGAGAGAGGTTCCTCACCCCGCTCTTCAGGACCCTCCTCGCCTCCTACGGTGTCATCCTGTACATCGATCTCGTCTTCGGATTCGTTATTAGGCAGTGTGTCCTCCTGCGAGTCCGTTGCCCCAGATGCAGCCGAGGTGGCTTCCTTGCCACGATCCTCTTTCCCACCCGAATTCTCCTTGCCCTCTTTCTGTCGCTGCTCCTTTCGGTTTTCTGATATTGCCTTCTTACTTCGCTTCCATTTCATCCGTCGGTTCTGGAACCAAATCTTGACCTGTGGCGTGGAGAAGGAACCATTTAATTGTCGTAAATTGATAAAAGTACATAATAGTGATTGCATGTCAATACTGTGCATGACTTCTAAGGTATAATAGTCGCTAAGTAACATAATTTTCTCAGGACTTTACAAAGTTATTTTTTTTTGTTTCCGTTATTTGACGCTCAAGTTGAAAAATTCCTAGGATTCACTATTATGTATTGAACTTTTTTTTTTTTTTTTAAATGGGATGTAAAATTAGCTCCGGCAAACCAGCGGATACTTAACCGCTGAACGGGTTATCATTTGCTTAAGACCTGTATCAAGAGGCACTTGTTCCTCGACGAATACACCACCACTATCACCAAATGGAAGGATATATATTCACCAAGAGGTGAATGCTGGAGACCACGTTACATGCAGCCTTAATGACCCTTGTGTATTCGATAGGCTTTAAACCCAGTTAAGCTTAATTTTAGTGGAACTTCCTTCAACAATGAGATGGGACAACAGTCTGTTGTTTTGTTATTTATTAACCACACAGAATTTATATACTATATATACATGGGTCATCTCAGTGATTAAGACCCGTGTCAGGAAAGACTTGCACTGTTTCCTGACAAATAAATCAACAGTAACAATACTGAGCCGAATTTTAGATTTATGCGTTGACAAAATTATTATTGAATGAGTTTCTGTTTATAGAGAGCAAAAGGTGTTTTAACTAGAACTTTCGCTTGGAACATATTGTAGGTTAAGCAAAGTAGGATCAGTCAGGAAAGAGGACAAGTGTTTCCCGAAACGGGACATAGTCATATGATGATCTGGAGCATTTGGTCATCTGACCGAGGCCTTCCACTGGCTTACCGGTCAACCTATTTAAAAATTATTATTAATATACTGTACATTAACACGCTTTTTTCTGGGCGAACTAATTTTCATCGCGTTCGCATATAAAATAAGATATATTATTGCTACTGATATTATTATAATTATTATTATTTTAGCAAATGTACTAAATATATACTTTCATTAATAAAAAATACTTTTTCAAACTACCTTCCCCTTTCAAGAAAAACTTTTTTTAGTCTGGTATCATAAGTTTAAATAAATTGTTGATCTCAAGTGATTGTTCAACAGGAACTAGAACAAGTTCCTCCTGACTCAGGTTATAGAGTTTCGTCCCTTTTTAAAAAAAAAAATAGATAATTTCATTCTAAGTTCCTAAGATGGTTTTTCTTTTATGAATTCGACAGTTTTTCAAAATGTGATTTGTGGGACTAAATATTTGTAAGCAGTTTTTTCTTTACATTAAAAACACAGTTTACTGTAGAATTGTGATCGTAAAGTTTGCTAATTTTATGGGAAAAAATTCACATTAATTATAATGTAACCGTTTAGATTGTGCAGATCTTTGTGTGATAATTTAGATAATCACATAACCGGTGATATATAAAATGATTTATGTATGCCTAATTTATTAAAAACAAGTTTAATTTTGAAAAGGGTAGACCGGTAAGCCAGCGGAAGGCCTCAGTCAGATGACCAAATGCTCCAGTACCGGGTAGCACTTAGTTATGATAATAATAATAATAATCCAGTGCTGGGTCATTTTATAACTAAGATCTGCGTCAGGAAACAATTGTCTAGTTTCTCGACTGGTCTTACTTAATCCATTCTTGTTTGCTATTCTTCTCCATTTTAAAGCATTAATATAAAACTATATTTTAAAAGCACACACCGTATATACCAAACATTTATAGGATGCTACAATTATACCATAAAAAGTGCTTGAGCAATTCGAAATAAAAATAAACACCAATTAATAGGGATTCCAATGTTTGTCCTGCGGTGTCTTCGGGTTACGTAATCAAGTTATCCAAAGTAGTATATTTATCCTCGTAAATGCAATCAATATAAATGTCTGAATTCATTTAAAATAAATTTTGACTTGTAAATTGGTGTCAAACAATAAAGCTTATTTATGCTGCTAAATACTGAAAGTAGACTAGTATCTGAACGCTAAGAATATTTTTTTTTAGCCTAGTAACTGATGTCGTATAAGAAAATCATAGCAGATTTGTTTATTTTTTGTAGCGTGATAACTAGTACCGTATAAGAACACCAAAGCGGATTAATACTCGTAAATTTGAGTCTGGAATTGTTTGATTTGTGTATGGCCTAGTAAGATGCGTGGATGTATATATTAATGGATTAACGCTAAACCTATGGGTGTCATACAGCGTTTGGGGAATGAAAGGCAACCATGTTTGATCGAGAAAGGGAGGGGTAGCTTCACTTCCTTGCAGCAAAAGCCCTTCACCTGCATCAACGGACTCCATTCTTAACGGTACGCGCGGATATAGGACTGACCTGAGTCTCTGTGAGCATGAGGCTGGTGGCTACTTCGAAGCGCTTAGGTCTAGATAGGTACTTGTTCTCCCTGAAGTGCTTCTCCAGTTCGAGTAGCTGCTGGGAGGTGAAGGCGGTGCGAGGCCGTCTGGTCTTGCCCAGCAGGTTGTGCTGACCCATACCTGAAACAACACAACTAGTTCACTGCCTCCATATATAGTAAATGTTGAAATGAGCATCTTTTGATTAATTTGTAAAATTGTGTAGTAATATTTGTATCCATTGTAAATAAACAAAAGCATGAAAAAATCATACTTGTTTGTTGGTTAATGGGGTTTAAAACCTATCGACTACACGAGGGTAATTAAACCTGCAAGTAACCTATTCACCACCAGTGAAAATACTTTAATACTAAAACTGGGATTAAACTCAAAATATATACAGTACACTAATTGAGTTTTAAAACTATAGACGGACGAGGGTCATTTAGGCTGCAAGTAGCCTCTTATCTTCTGCTAATGTGCGAAGGAACTCTCGTATCTTGGACACGTGTCCCTCAACCAATGCACGTGTCTCACCAATAACAACCACGCCCATAAGATATTCTCGACACGTGGCTACGCCCAGACACACGCCGCTAACTTGAGGCACGCGTCACTAAATACCAGGGAATGATATAATATGCATTATGATTCTCACCCTTGTTTCTACGGAAGACATTATATAATATGCAATATTTAATGATTTACGAGTAGCGGGAATTTAGCTGTAATAGCAGTAGTAGTCGAGTAAAAGCAGCAACAGCAGTAGGAGCAACATCAGTAATAGTAACAATAGCAACATCAGTAGTAGTAACAGTAACAACTGCAGCAGCAGCGGCAGTAGCAGTAGCAACAACAACAGTAGTACTCAAGGTGTAGCAGCAGAAACAGCAGTTTTAATTGTATCACCAACAGCAGTAGTAGTCGTAGTAGTGGTAGTAGCAACGGCAGAAGTAGGAATAGCAGTAGTAGCATCAGTAACAGTAGTAGTAAGTCCAAATTAAATTTTCTCGTTACTTATTAAAAAAAATCACATTTTTTTTTATCCAGGTCGTGTGGCCAAAATTTGAGTGCAAGAGAACCTGTGGTGCTATCCCGACTCCAGCTCTCTAGATAGATAAGAACATAGTAAGACTTGTTTAGTTCATGTCACCACTCTCACCCCCACCCGACCCTCACCCCCACCCGACCCTCACCCCCACCCGACTCTCACTCCCACCTGACCCTCAACACCAACACTTACCAACAACAACTTAAACAAAAGAACGAATACTAATCTTTGCTTTCCTTGTGAGGTGTGATATATCTCCTCATTCCCTCTCCCTTCCACCACCCGGTCCCTTCTCCAACACACTGACTTCCTCCGCCCTCCTTTCCAGGGCCCTTGTATAACGCATTAACTCCCTTCACCTTCCCGTCCAATCCTCTCCAACACTAACTTCTTCTACCCTTCCCTCCAGGCCCCTCCTCCAACACACACTCCACCTTCAGCCACTCGTTGCCTCTCCTGCTCTAACACTCACATGGCTGTGTAAGTGCCACTCGAAGCTGGCGAAATCGTCGTGGAGAACCTGGAAGCATCAGTTCTATAGGCTTATTGTCCTTTCAAGGGAGGTGCTGTACCTTGACGCAGGTGAGGGGAGTTTCATCCAAGGAACTTATGCGACGCTTCCCTTTGAATCAAGCTGATCGCCTCCTATTTCCCAGATGCTGTATGACCCTCACGGATTTCATGTATCTCCGTGAATATAATTAGGTATCCACCGAAAGGTGACACTCATAGTGGTTGTCAATTTTTTTTTCTGTTTCTTTTCCTTCTTCCAGGTTCTCTGTGTCATTGAGAACGCTTCTTCTGATTGGTTTCTAACTTTTAAAAATTAGTGTATCTTAGAGGAATATTACTGGACTGTATAGGCGCTTAGTTGGTAATTTTATTTTAAAAACTGTTTAATTTTTTCTGTGCAGTAACTTGAGAATGACTCTTGTGAACGGTTTCAAACTTGAACGATAATACCTCTAACCAAGAGAAAAAACTGTTTATAATTTAAGCTTTTTCAGGTGCAATTTTTTAGATTTACTACTATAATTAAACAATTCTGAATTATTGGTTTCTTGTTCAATAACTGAATATTTTCTCTTGGGTAACTTCCAACTTTCAACCCTCATTCATGTATTTAACAATAAAAAGGTCTAGACTGTTGTTAGGTTGTCTATGTCAATTTGCCAATTTTATTAAACTGCAATATTGATTTTTATTCGATAACTGGAGAATGCCTCTTCTGATCGTCGTCAAACTCTCAATTCCGGTGTGTTGTTCGTAGTGGAAGAACGGTTAGGACTGGTTTTGGGCTGTATTTGTTTCAAATTGCTGGTTGTATTGAATAAATTGGCTTCAGACTTTGAGTGACGGTGGACCTTACCTAGACAAAAGTTCTCATTATTATTGGGTTTTGTGAATGCAGATTTACCAGTTTTATTTTACGAAAATAAACGAATACACGCCATTCTGGACCACTACAGCCCTTCTCCAGGTAGATTTTCCACACTTTAAACTTTTGCAAAAAAAAAAAAAAAATTGTTACACCGTACAAAAAACTACAATGAAAAGTTAGCTTTTAATAGTATGTTGAAGGTTGAAAATTTTGCAATAATTTGCCCTCCTCTGTCTTGACTTTCTGAATATGTTACTGCATAAAATTTTTCCCAGTGTTTCACTGATGCGAACTTCAGGTACTGATCTTATCAGTCGCTCTTGGACCTCTGGAGTTTCCTGGTACGGGTACTACACTTTTTTCCAATTATTATTATTATTATTATTATTATTATTATTATTATTATTATTATTATTATTATTATTATTATATTATTATTTATTATTATTATTATTATTATTATTATTATTATTATTATTATTATTATTATTATTATTATTATTATTATTATTATTATTATCAGTAGTAGTAGTAAGAGTAATAATGGTAGTGTTTATGCTTCTTGTATGGGTCGAGGTACAGAAGCCACTCCGCTCTCTTGGATCGTGGACAAAAACGAGTCTACCTGGAACGTACTCCGGGGGCCAACACCTCCGAGGCCCGGTTCATGACAAGGCTTCCCGGTGGATCAGGGTCTGATCAACTAGGCAGTTACTGCTGGCCGAATGCAGTCCAACGTACGAACCACACCCGATTGGTCAGGTGCTGACTTTAGGAATCTATCCAGTTCCTTCTTGAAGACAGCCAGGGGTCTATTGGTAATCTCTCTTATGTATGATGGGAGGCTGTTGAACAGTCTTGGACCCCTGGCATTTGTTGTGTTTTCTCTTAACTTACTCACGGCAGCACTCCTGCTTTTTACTGGGAATATGTTGCACCACCTGCCAAGTCTTTTGCTTTCGTAGTAATTGGTTTCTGTGTGCAGATTTGGGACTGGTCCCTCTAGGATTTTCCAGGTGTAAATTATGATGTATCTTTCTCGCCTGCGTTCCAAGGAGTATAGGTCAAGGGACATCTAACGTTCCTAGTAATTAAAATGCTTGACTGAACTTATACATGCAGTGGAAGTTCTCTGTACATTCTCCAGATCTATATTTTTGCTTGTCTGGAAAGAGGCTGTTAGTGTATAGCAGTATTCCAGCCTATAGAGAACGAGTGACTTAAAGAGGATCATCATTGCCTTGGCATCTCTTGTTTGCAAGGTTCTCATTATTCATCCTATCATTTCTTCGCATTTGTGATAATGACACTGTTGTGATCCTAAGGTGAGATCCTCTGACATTATTCATCCTATCATTTCCTCGCATTTGTGATAATGACACTGTTGTGATCCTAAGGTGAGATCCTCTGACATTATTCATCCTATCATTTCCTCGCATTTGTGATAATGACACTGTTGTGATCCTAAGGTGAGATCCTCTGACATTATCATTCCTAATCCCATTGCATTAGTGTTTTGCTTTATTGTGTGAGTAGAGTTCGCACCGTTTTTTCCATCCTTCCTCAACCCCCTGTGCCCTAAACAGTATGTCAGGAATAAATACGATGCTAAATATATGTAAATGGGTAGCGGTGGCCAAGTTGTGAAAAGCGCGCCAATTCGTGTCATGGCGCACTAATGGCGGATAAACAAACGAGGATCACTTTGCGCAGATGGGAAAATATCGACGCAAGTATTACCATTATTTCACTTCTTAGGCTTCCCTGCTCTATGAGCGACATTACTATACTTTCTACACCATTTTTCACCTCCAAATGTTCCACTTTGATGCATTTTGGGACAAAAATGCCTTTTTTTTCCTGTGTGAAATGTGATTTCAGGACGAGTAATGTAGAACCTATATGAAGGTTTTTACGGCCTTCCCTCCCCGGCTTCCCTCTCGTCAATGGCCGCCGACTAATGAGCCATAAAATATGTTTGCCGATGATCAATTACCGTCCATTGAGAGATTGGCTCTGGATTAGTGAAAATCTGTTGATATGTTACTGATGTATTGTTCCGGGCAGCCGCCCCGCCCACCCTCCAGGATGAACGTGTTTTTGTGGACGTATTAGCTTAGTTGGTGGCCCGGTCTGGGGCGACATCTGGCAGGCAGCAGAGTTTAGCTTATGGGTATAGCTGGTGTGAAGGGTTGACTAGGCTCATAAAGCCTAGGAGAGAGAGAGAGGGAGGAGGGGGAGAGCACCATCTCCTCCACCATTTATCCCTAGTAACTACCACTATTCTCCCTCAACCCCACAACCATTTCCCTCTCAATTACCACCATCCCGTCAACCCCCCCACGTCAACCACCAATACTCCCTCACTGCCCCCACACTACTATCTCTTCGCACCACTACTATAATACCACCATCACTCGTTCCCTCCATACCATCACCCGTTCCCTCCATACCACCACCATCCGTTCCCTCAACATCACCACCACTACCCTCTTCACCCCAAAACACCACCACCGTCATACTAACCACGTGTATATATATATATATATATATATATATATATATATATATATATATATATATATATATATATATATATATATATATTTATTTATTTATTTAACAATTCGCAAACGGGCGAAATAATTTACATTGTCTCTTCGTCCACAGCAGGACTCGAACCTGCTAACTCTGTATCAGAGTCCACAGTACATTACCACGGAGCTAGACCCAAGATAAGTCTGGGCGCAATAATTTCGCCCGTTTGCGAATTGATAAGCATTTCAAATCTCTTTCGTTGTCCACTGCATGTGGCAGGATTCGATGAAATAACTTTCAAAACGAGCTTGGTGCCCAGGGGTATGAGGTAACATCGCTTAGCTTCGGCTAAGCGCCCATACTTATCTTGGGTCTAGCTCCGTGGTAAAGTACTGTGGACTCTGATACAGAGTTAGCAGGTTCGAGTCCTGCTGTGGACGCAGAGACAATGTTTATATATATATATTATTATTATTATTTTTTTTTTATTTTTATCACACTGGCCGATTCCCACCAAGGCAGGGTGGCCCGAAAAAGAAAAACTTTCACCATCATTCACTCCATCACTGTCTTGCCAGAAGGGTGCTTTACACTACAGTTTTTAAACTGCAACATTAACACCCCTATATATATATATATATATATATATATATATATATATATATATATATATATATATATATATATATATATATATATATATATATATATATATATATATATATATATATATATTATATATATATATATATATATATATATATATATATATATATATATATATATATATATATATATATATATATATTTATATATATATATATATATATATATATAATTATATATATATATATATATATATAATATATATATATATATATATATATATATATATATATATGTCGTGCCGAATAGGCAGAACTTGCGATCTTGGCTTAAATAGCAACGCTTATCTTGCCATATAGGACAAGCGAAAATTTGTGTATGCAATAATTTCGCCAAAATTATTCTGAACCTAACGAAAAAAATATATTCCACTGTGTTTGTTTAGTATTAAATTATTGTAAACAAATCTAAAATATATTTAGTTGGGTTAGGCTAAAATAAATTGTTCTTGTTATAATAAGGTTAGGTAAGTTTTCTAAGATTCTTTTGGTG